ATTAACATGGATTAGATGTGTCTCATTAGGAAGGTGGAGAGTTCCTAATTCCCATGAAGATGTTATTTATGAATCCACCTTCCTGGGTCACTGGGGGATCCCAGAGGAGTGGTATCAAGGATGCAGCTGGTTGAAGCCTGTGTTGGGCAGGTCTCGAGAAGCCACAATTAGCAGTCTTCCTGCCCCCCATCCCAAGCTGTAAATTTCTTGTACCAGTCTATAAATAACTCCTCTTGACTTCATCGCTGCTGGTGATATACGCGCTAGGATCACCCGCATCTCTCCACCCTGGTGAAATGATTAAGATTTTTAAATGGGAGACAAGACCCACACAAATGAGCTGTTATTTAGAGGGTACTGTTTGCCACCAACTTCTTTATTAAATCCATCAAATAAGCAAACACCAAGGAAGGAATAGGCTAGAATTAATAATAAAAGCACTAATTATCATCATTTACTGAGCACTTGTTACATGCTTTTCTACTTCAATCTCCCGATAATCCACAAAAGAAGTAGTGTCGTCCTCACTGAGCATGCTCGGGCTAAGCACAGTATTACCAAGGTCACAGAGATGCACGGTGACCAAGTCAAGACTCCGTATCAGGTCTGGCGGATTCCAAAGTCCCTACTTTTAGTTGCTGTGCTCTCCACAACTATCTACATTTCAATAATCTCTCACTCATGGCTTCACAGACTGTAACACTTCTAAAGCCAAAAATGACAACTCCGCAGTGTCCCGGCTCCCACCACGTCCAACGCACTGGGATTCTTCCGAGCCAGGGGATAATCTGCTGTCAGTGTGACTGAAGAGCACTGCTTGAGGAAGGGGGTCCAACTCTCCCAAGGCCCAGGAGAAATGAAGCAGGTTTTACATCAGGTGCCTACAGGCAACACCTGAGCAGGGGAGTTCAGTCCCATCAGGGGCCTCCTTCACGACGCAGCTCCTGTCTGGGTTCTGCCACGGACTTCCCTCACAGGCCAGAGTTTGCAGTGCATCAGCTCTCTCGACAGCTCTCCAGGACCGACAGCCAATTCCTGCTCCTCTACAACTGCCCACTTTTATGTGTAGCTACATGCCTGGGACTTCTGAGAGAAGCCCCCGTCCCCTGGCTCTCCACTGGCATACAGCAGGCACTCGGTAGGTACAGGTGCAGTGAACAGAAAACCCATTCAACTCACTCCAGGCTGGAAGACTGGGCTGGACACAGAGCAGAGAGGATGCAATGAGGAGTCAAGCGCCACATCCCTACCTCATCACTCGGCTGCAAATGCTGGTCACTCAGCAAATGAGCTCCGTCATCCTCTTCAGTTCTGATGGTGTCCTCGTCCTCTTGGCTAGCCAGAAGCTACATGAGGCATGGAATGATATGAAAAGGCAACCCAAAAAAGCATGCAGCATGACTATGCATGAGTAAGTCAGTAATGTCTTTTTTAAAATGTGAAACAAAAAATACAAACAAACAAACGAGGCAGAAACAAATGCCAAAGCCATGAAATAAAAATTAACCAAAGTTAGAATTACTAGTTTTGGCAAATCACGCACAGCTGCCTGGGATCGAGTCTAATTTAAGCAAAAATTCCCAAGAAATAAAAAGCATTTCCCTCTTGCCTGTGCACGGTTGTTCCTGAGCTACTGTAAATAGAATATGCTGCCTGTTATGCCGCTGCCATTCTTGCTTTTACTAAATTCACTCTGAGATTACATAAAAGTAACATGATTTTGGGGCCTGGCGGGATAACGTAGTGGTTAAAGTCCTCGCCTTGCACGCCCAGGATCCCATATGGGCGCCGGTTCCAATCCCGGTGGCCCTGCTTCCCGTCCAGCTCCTGCTTGTGGCCTGAGAAAGCAGTCGAGGACAGCCCAAAGCCTTGGGACCCTGCACCCGTGTGAGATACCTGGAAGAGGTTCCTGGCTCCTGGCTTCGGATTGGCATAGCACCGGCCATTGTGCTCACTTGGGGAGTGAACCATTGGACGGAAGATCTTCCTCTCTGTCTCTCCTCCTCTCTGTATATCTGACTTTGCAATAAAAATAAATAAACCTTTAAAAAAAAAAGTAACATGATTTGGGTATTGATGAACTTGAAAATATTAGAGAGAGCAGTAAATGAAGTCTAATTAGTATAGGGCAGAGGCTTGCTCAACTGCCACACTGCTGAGACGGACAAGAGCTCAGCAACATTGCCACAGTTTGCTAAAGGAAGTCATTGATACAAATGGCATGAATCCTTGATGCTTTACAGAAACATACATCCCCAAGCCTCTGCAGTCTGCGTTCCACAGAATGGACACTGCGACTCTTGGAAGAGGCAGATCTCAGCTCCACGGAAAAGCAGAAATGCCATTCACAAGATACCCAGATTAACCAAATGCGCCCCCAACATGGGGAAGAGAGCCCATCAAAACTGCTCCGAGCGACAGCACACGTCACGGCACCAATGAAGTGGCCAGTTCCACCTGAAAGTAAGACAGCCATGGGGTGACAGGTGACTTTGGCATCTGGAAACGGGTGATGCTGTGGCTCTCTCAGCACTTATATATCATCAATACCTGCATTTGGTCAATCACTCCCATAACTTCCAGCTCAGCTTAAATCCTGATCTTCCTTTTAGAAGAAAAGCACAAAGGAAGAGGACTTCCAAAAGTCATCTTCTAAAAACATACAACCTATTCCCACCCAAACCTGGGAACTGATGATCAAACTCCACACCCAACGATACTAGCAAGCATTAGCCAGACCAGACCCGGGTCAGTGCATTTATTAAACACACATCCACTTAAAAAGCTCACCCTTCTGGCTTCTTCCTTCATCGCCAAAACATTCACCAGTGATACAAACAATGAGGACCATCTCAATCCCACTCTAAAATGCCCCTGAAATCCAAAACTTTTTAAACACTGACATTACACTCAAGTTGTTTTTGATTTAGAGGCATTGGGGATTTCAGATTTTCAGCATGCTCAATCAATCCATGCAAATATTCCAAACTCTGAGAAAAATATCGTATCTGAAATACTACTTGTCCAAGTACTTGGGATGGGGGGTACTCAAACCATGCATGCTATTTAGCAATAAAAGGGAACAAACAGCTGACTCACATAACAATATGGATGAACCTCAAAAACATATCAAGTGAAAGATGCTTCTACAAAAGAGAATATACTGGGTAATACATTTCTGTGAAGGTACAGTACAGGCAAAATTAATTCACAATGGAACAAAATTAGAGGAACAGTGGGGGTAGAGGGAGCGGGTCGACGAGAACGGGTGTGGGTAACACATACACACATATTTACAAAACATAAAATGTAGGCTGACAACATATATATTTTATTGCATGTAAATTTATCCCTAAAAGAATGACTATGTGGAACTGCAGTTGTGGCGGATCAGGTAAACTCACTGCCTGCCTGTGTTACCAGCACTGACAATGTCCCACCTGCTCCACATCTGATCCAGCCCCCCGTGAACGGCCAGGGCAGAGCAGCACGGGCTGGCCCACGGGTCTGAGCCCATGCCATCCACATGAAGACAAGCACGAAGCTCCTGGCTCCTGGCTCCGGCCTGCGCTAGCCCCTGCTGTTGCAGACATCTGGGGAGAGAACCAGCACATAAAAGACCTCTGGTCTCCCTCTAACTCTTTCAAACAAATAAATAAATCTTTTTCCAAGAAATAGCTATAAATATATACTGAAGTTAAAGATATGCAGTCTGAAGAATTCAAGCAAAGCACAGGTACACTGATATTTGTAATTTCAATGGGAAGTCATCAAAGGAATCAGAAAGTAGTAATGATATACGGGAAACACTACAGACTTGAGGTGCTGAGTGTACACACATGCGTTCACTATAAAACTATGTTCTCCTCACTGTGTCTGCTTTCTTCGTAACAGCAGCTTGGGTTCCCCCATCTTGAAGAGATTCAAACAGTAACAGCACGCTCTCCCTGGGCTGCACCTTGCTCTGGTCATGGAGCCTGCTGCCTTTCTGAAGCTTCCGGAAAAGGTCGCGTCTCATCCTCTGCAGTATGGCTTTTGCTGCCTGTCCATGAACTGCACATAAAAGGTCCCAAAGGCCTATTCATCCTAGAGGGAAGTCCACAGGGGCTGCAGGGAGAAGTGAGAAGCCGCCCCGCAGCTCCATAAACAGGAGCAGGCCTCCCCCAGGTTGGCTGAGAAAGGCATTGCTGACACATGTCAACATGTCACTGCTGCGCAAAACAGCCAAAGCACCACAGCTCCTCTGCTTTCTGGAACCACAACCACACCATTCTGCACACGATGAAATAAAAACTCCCTCCTCTTTGGCACCTGCGGACTTGGTGAAAATTAAAAGTAAACTCTTCAGGTTCTAACAGTGGTCAAAAATGAAAGGTTGTGGACACAGAGAGATGCTTTTAATACCGTACGTGACCGGACCAGTTTTCAAAGACACAGCGAAAGATGTGAGGAAGCCGCACCCCTGAGCTCGGGGTCAGCCCTGCCGCCAAGTGCAGCAGCGACCTCCAGCCCTCCAAGTGTCAACCAGCTCTAGCCTCACCTCCTCACCCATCTCACCCCTCCAACTAAGGCAGGTGGGCTCTGGACCCCTCGGGTGAAACTGCCCTGCCTGCCTGTGTGACTTGGGACTCCTCGGTTAAGCCATGTCTCTCTTCCCCATGGACCAGTCCCTCCTTGAACCACCACACTCCCTGCTGTTCCCCCGCCTCCCCGGCCTCCAGTGCTGTTCTTCCTTGACCTCCTCCTCCAGGAAGCATCCCAGCACCTTCACTCCGCAGCAGCTGCCCCTCTACTGCTGTGTGTCAGCTCTGCTCTCGCTGCACAAAGTAACCCTCAGCACAGAAGCACCAGGCGTTCTCACATTGCTAACGAGGTCCCCGGGAAACACAGGCGCATGCTCCACTTTAGCAGCAACAACACCTCAAAAGCTCTGTGTTTTACTGAGCACATACTACAGGCCAGGCACTTCCGCAAGGGCTTCATAGATCATGTTAAACCAGATGCCTTCACCTTAGGAGTAAGGAATATAACGATTCGGGGTCACACCCGAGTTCTCACTGCTAATGGGAGACAAATTTTTGAGCTGGTAAAGGTCATGCCTAAGGTGACCCGCATACTTTGTGGGATGCCTGGAAGCTGTAATCTGCCTGTCCGCCTCCTCCTCCACCTACACCGCCTCCACGCACCCTCTCCTCCTCCTCCTCCCCTACACCCGCCCTCACCGGCATCTGGGAGACCCAGAAGAGGCTCCTGACTCCTGGCTTCAGATCGGCTCAGCTCCAGACATTGTGGCCTCTTGGGGAGTGCATCAGCGGATGGAGGATCTTTCTCTCTGTCTCTCCTCTTCTCTGTATATCTGACTTTCCAGTAAAAGTAAATCTTAAAAAAAAAAAAATGTTAAATTATATTACACAGTTCAGCTGTTTGTAGGTTCCTCCTTTTAATGAAAACGTAACTACTCCAACAATCCACCAATTTTAATATTACTCTAACCGAGTAATCAACAAGCACCTTCTGTTTCTTAGGGTCATTTCTGTCCTCTGCAGGGTCACACAAGGTCTACTTTTATTCAGCATGACAGCCTTGCACATAACTGAGTTCAATTAAATTATATCCCTTTTCTCAGGTTTTCTCTCCATGTTAAAAAAAAATAATAATAATTTGCTTTGTGACCATCCAAGTAATGACAGACGTAGATTACAACAGCAATGAACTCTGTGAGCACCTGTAATCCACCTGACACAGATCGCATCATTTAGATGTGACAGTTCCATGTGCCTTGCAGAGTTCATCGCTATTATTGAGGCTCACTGCCCTGACTGGATGGTGATTCTCTACGTAAATTAATGACTAGCAAACAAACATAAAAAGACCAGAGCAATCACACCAGAGATCATTTAAATGCACACTAAAGCCACAGGAGACCTCTTTGCCATGGCCTGGGTAATCGTTCAGGTGTCCCCCAGGAGCCCATGTTAAAGGCTTGATGTCCTGTCTCATGCTAGCAGGATGGTGGAGCTTTGGGGGTGTTTATACTAAACAGAGTGGCTGTGGTGAATGCCCTGGGACCAAGTAAGGGTGGCTTGATGAAAACAGACAAGCCCGGAATGGTAGCCTAAAGGCTTAAAGTCCTCGCCTTGCATGCACCAGGACCCCATGAGGGTGCCGGTTTGAGTCCCAGTGGCCCTGCTTTCCATATTGCTCCCTGACTGTGGCCTGGGAAAGAAATCAAGGATGGCCCAAGGCCTTGGGACCCTGCACCCACGTGGGAGACCTGGAAGAGGCTCCTGGCTCTGGGCCAGCTCAGTTCTGGTCATTGTGGGTGCTTGGGGAGTGAATGACTGGATGGAAGATCTTCCTCTCTGTATATTTGCCTTTCCAATAAAAAAAATTCTTTTTAAAGTAGACACGAGCTCACAAAGGACAGGCTTGTCCCCAGCTCCCATGGGATCAACTCTACACACTCACACACAGATGCCAGCCCCGAGCCCCAGCAGAGGCCAGGCCAGCTTCAACCTGTGAACCTCCAAAACTGGGAGGCACACACACACACACACAGGCTTCCTTCCCACAGGCAGCTTCGCCAGACCCATCAACCGCAGAGACAAAACGATGCCTGCCCACTGTTCCCGATGCGCTGCCTGGGCGGTAGCTGAGCGAACTCCCAGCCTGCAGGCAACAGATGCTGTTGTCTCCAGCTTGTGGGGTTCTACACCAGAAACTAACTCTATTAGGGCCCTCAAACTACTTAAGCCTCAATTCAAATTAAAAGTTGTGGTGTCGCAAGTTAAACCACTGATTGTCATGCCAGTTCCCTCGGTTCAGAGTGCCAGCCAGATCCAGTCCCAGACACGCTACTTCCAAACCAATGTCCTGCTAATGTGCATGGAAGTCACAGAGCACAGCCCAGAAGCATGGGAGATGAGCATGGAATTCCCGGCTCCTGGATTCTGCAGAGCCCAGAGACTGGCTGTTGTGACCACTGAGGAGTAACCGAGCAGATGGGAGATCTCTGTTTTCCTTCTCTCTTTCAAATGATTTTTTTTTGTTTTGTTTTGTTTTTGTTTTGTTTTTTTTACATTGGGCCAACATGGTGGCTCAACTAGCTAATCCTCTACCTACAAACACTGCCAGGGTACCATATGAGTGTTGGTTTGTATCCTGGCTGTTCCATTTTCCATCCAGCTCCCTGTTTATGGCCTGGGAAAACAGTAGAGGATTGCCCAAAGCCTTGGGACCCTGTACCCACATGGGAGACCTGGAAGAAGCTCCTGGCTCCTGGTTTCAGATCGGCTCAGCTCCAGCCATTGCAGCCATGTATGGATTGAACCAGTGAATGGAAGATCTCTCTCTCTGTCTCTCCTTCTCTCTGTAAATCTGCCTTTCCAATAAAAATAAGTCTTAAAAAAATAGATATTACTGGAGAATTATCTATGAAAACCATTACGATTTATTCATTTTTAGTGGCATGTGAGATTTACAGAGTGAAGGAGAGACAAAGAACTTCCATCCGCTGGTTCACTCCCCAAGTAGCCGCAATAGTCGGTGCTGAGCTGATCTGAAACCAGGAGCTTCCTCCAAGTCTCCCATGCAGGTGCAGGATCCCAAGGCTTTGGCCTGTCCTCAAGTGCCTTCCCAGGCCACAAGCAGAGAGTTGGAAGGGAAGTGGAGCAGCCGGGATGCAAACCGGGGCCGATGTGGGACCCCGCATGTACAAGTCAAGGACTTTAGCCACTAAGCTACCACGCCAGTCCCCTTGAAAACCAATTTTTATGAGGATTACATATCTTCCTTTAACCTAGTAATTACATATCTAGGTAACAATGCATGGTGTGAAAAAAAATCCCTAAACACAGACAAAGATCTGTGTCCAAGGACACTCATTATATACTTTAAAACAGTGACTCACTGAAAGCAATCTACAGTCTTAACAAAAGCAAGGCAGTTAGTTAAATTTCAGTGCATTCACAAGATGGAATAAGATGCTAGCAAATACGGCAGAGAAGCAAGAACCAGCGTAAGCGTGTACATGAATGTAAGCATACACACCAATAACGAAGGACCAGTCCAACCTGCTAATAAACTGTGCCTGCTTTAAAGTGACAAGATGAGGGGCAATTTCTTTTCTCGGTTTTCCCAAGGTTAGGCAATGTTATCAGTTAATTAAATATTGGGGGGAAATACTGAATTTTAAAAACATAAAAATACATCCCATTCTTTCCTCTCCTTTCCTGGTTCACTGGCTCGCAGGGAGCATGAGTCGTGCCCAGCCCCCCGGTCCGCAGCCAACACCAAGGGCAAGCTGAGCAGTCCAGTCTGCTTCTTCCTGGACTCTCACTGAAGGGGAGCACGGGCAGCCCCGGGGAAATGCGGGCTCCCCTCTCCAGCATCCCACCCTCAGCCCTCACTCCCACTCCTCCCTCCACTCCAGATCATCACGGGCACATCCGTCACGCTGCCCGTTGTGGGGGAAGATGCGGAGCTGGGCTCGCTCGAAAGGACAAGGCTATTCATAGGGAACATCAAATCGAAGTGCAATTTGACAAATGACTCAAATCTGAATCGGCTGGTATTAAGATCTCTGAGTAGGCAGGGGGAAAAAGGACATAATGGGACATTTAACAGAATTTTTTTTTTTTCCAAAGGGCAAATGAACAAACAAAACCTCACCAGTTACGACTCAAAAGAAGTCAGTGAAGAACAAGCTGCTTATTAAAAATGCCGCCTGGGAGGAAGCAGAGCACGAGCTTGTGGCTCCCTAAAGGGAGTGCAGGGTCACTCGGTTTTCCAAATTATCCGGATCCCTGCAGGCGATGATCGATAATGTTCCCTGGCTCCGAGAGCAGATGGCCAGAGCACAGCCTAAGTACCTCTGAGCCCTTCCCACTCCGACAGGAGGAGGAGACAGCTGCAGGCTGACAAATCTTTGCTCAGGAAATGACATGGCAGTGTGTGTGAGAGAGCTCCATCTACCTGTGCTCCAGGTTGATTCAAGACAACCCCGTGTAAGATCCTAATTATGTATTGCAGGGACCCTAACGCACATAGGGCTGCGTGAGCTTTAGGTGAGAACAGCTCCGGGCTTCTGAAACAGAAGGTGCGTGGAGCCACGTTTTACCCGGGAGAAAGGTAGGCTAAGGCGGAGGCTTAAGGCAGGAAGCAAGGCACCCTTTGCCAATGACGTCACTGCAGGGTCCTTCCAGTGCACAGCACAGATTCTGACAGAGAAAAGTCTTCAGAGATAAAAAAAAAAAGACTTCAAAAAGTTCTTGGAAAGCACGTAGCAACAAAAGTATAAGTTTATTCTGGTGAAAACCAAAAAAAGTAATTTTTTTAATTGAAAGAATTGCAGAGAGGAGACAGGGGGTTGGAAAGAGATCTTCCTCTGCTGGTTTACCCAAATGGCTACAATGCTAGAGCTGAGCTGAAGCCAGGAGCCAGGGCCTTCCTCTGGATTGCCCATGCAGGTGCAGGGTCCCAGAGCTTTGGACAATCCCTCGCTGCTTTTCCAGGCCACAAGCAGGAAGCTGGATCCCAGGAGCAGGAGCTGGGACTAGAACCGGCACCCACATTGTTTGTTGGCACTGCAGATAAAGAACTGGCCTGTTGAACCACAGTGCCAGCCTCACAATGAAGATTGTGAAGAGACTGGCATTGTTGGCACAGAAGGTTAAGCTGTCACCTGTAATATCAGCATCCCACATGAGCACAGCCCAAGACTCCCAGCTGCTCCACCTGTGGCCCAGCTCCCTACTAATGCGCCTGGGAAAGCGGAGCACACCTGCCCTAATGCCTGGGCCCTGCCACCCACATGGGGGACCCAGGCGAGTCCTACTTTTCAAAATAAATATTTAAGAAATTAACTCAATAACTCTTTGAAATTAAATTAATTTTTAAAGTCACAGTCTTTCCAAGATACAAGTTTTCCATTAACTTTTTCTTGAGTTTTTAACATCTGTATTTATTTATTTGAAAAGAAGAGAGAAGAGAAGGGCAAAGGGGAGGGGGAAGGGGGAACAGAGGGGAATATGGAAGGGGAGGGAAGGAAGCAAGACCTCTCAACTGCTGGATCATTCTCCAAATGCACAGAACAGACCAGGGCTGGGCCAAGTCCAAGCCAGAAAGTGAACCTACGCTTCCCCCACTACCC